GGTTGTCGACCTCGCACACAGTCTCTCCTACCTTTGTGGCTGCCACATGTATAACTATGTTTACATGTCTTGCTCGTACCGCTTCCGTAATTCGCTAGATCGTACTCGCTGCACAGCTCCCTGTCGAGTGATGGCATATACGGGGAAACGTTGATCAAATACGACATATGGTCTCTTCCACTTCGAGAGGAGTTTCCTTCCGCCTGGGTCACATGCGGTCCAGCGTTGGTGATTTCCGTACCTTACCTTCGAGCCGAATTTAAATTCTCCGAAAGGTTTAGTTATGTTGAACCGAGACTTCTACATCATCCGCAACTTGGCGGCTATCCGGTTCGGTAGCTTCCTGTTGTTCCGTGCTTTCCTCGGCGGAAACTGGCAGGTCATCCACATTCACACCACTAAAGCTACAAGAATTCGAGGCGCGCGACCGTAACTTAACTGAAATGGGGATTGTCCCGTGCTTGGTTGCTTGGACGCCTGGTGTTAGCAAGTTTAGTGGTACAGCTTCTTCTCAATCTTTCCGTTTCGTCACCAGCCTTTATTTATTAGTCCTATTATCCCGTCAATTCATTTGTATGGAAGTGGTAGGTGGTGGTTCGTATCCTCTTGATGTCTAGTTTCTCAAGACATCTTCGGAACTCATCTCTTTCAAAGCATGGATCCTGGTCCGTCATTTTGGCCGTCAGAATTCCCTGGCCCACCATCACGTGCCTCAGCACCGCAGGTGTTATCCTGCTAGCCCGCTGAGCCGGAAGTGCCGCCGCATCATTCCAGCATGGTGAAGTGCTCGGTCATCCTAATTATGTATTGATTGCCGCGTCCCGTTAAGCGGAACAGTTCCATCACATCGAGTGACCGAAACTCACCAAGCTCAGACACTGGAATCGCGAGCGTAGGTTGTGGTCTCCTCGATTGTCTCCCTACACGACGGAACATATCTATCGACATCTCTTTTCACAACCGTCCATTAAGCTAGCTGTCTGCGCAAATCATGTGTTCGGGTGCATCTGGTATGGGCCATCTCGTGACAAGAGACCACCAAATTTATCCCCAACTTTGGTGGGATCAGCGGCACCGGGGTAGCGTCTCGACCTTGTGTCCACATCATAATTCCGGCCTCGTTGCCTTGCAGGTTTTCCAGTTTCTACACGAACGGCCAGAAATGCTGGTCTTGGCTGTTGGTCGTCACAATTTGATGCCTTATTTCTGATGTTATCCGACCGTTTAGGAGCTTATCCTTTCCTTGCTCAAATTCAAACCTCACCGGATTCTGCTCCAGCAATAAGCCACTGACACAGAGGGCAATGTTCGGCAAAACGTCGTCAATCGTCAGGGGTGACAAAAGTCTGCCGTTCCGTTGTCCCTTCCTGACTCGTGACTTATTGTGTAACCGTATTATTTTAACGCAAAACCCACCTAGCCAATTTGCCTTTGGTGTTTTTGGAAGAAATACTACATACCAATGTTTTGTGAGCTGTTTCAAATTAAAAGCTTCGTCCCAGTAAGTACCCCCGCTAATTGTCCAGCACACAAACAATCGCCAGACACTTCTTCTCTCCTGTTGCGTACTTGCGTTCCGATGGTGTTAAAATTCAGCTAGCGTATCCAATCGTCCCCTGTCTCTGTTTTAGTACCGCAACGATTCCGACATCAATTATGTCTGTGGTCACCGAGAACGTTTCTCCGACGATCGGCAACTTCAGCGTACTATCCTGTTTTCACATGGCTTACTGAATGTCGTCAAACTGGCGCTGAGCTTCTGGCATACAAGTGTAGTTCTGCCCCTCTCCGAACAGGTCGCTGAAAGATGAAGACAAAATGTTAATATTGTTGACGAATTTACTGTAGTATCCGGCACGTTCCAAGCATGTCCTAATACTGCATTTCGAGGTCGGAAATTGGGGGGCCCCGAAATGTCAACCTTTTCTCCGACAGCGGCTTCAGCTCACCCTGACACGACTTGTGATCAAAAAGTTCACGGATGTTTTGCAAAATACGACTCAGGACCATTTATTCGTAATCTCGAACGCTAGAGCCATTGCTTCCAAATGACGGCATTGTTCCGCTTCCGATTCCCTGTATATCACGATGTCGTCTCCATACACGGCCACATTCTCTAACGCATCCAGCAGGTGCAGCATCAAGCGCCGGAAAGTGTACGGAGCAACAGATAACCAAAACAGCATCCTTTTAAATTGATACCACTTCTCGCCAACTGTAAACACTGTCTTCTCGCGGTCCTCCTGTTTCATCGCTAGCTGCAAGTAGACAGATCACAAATCAAGTAACCTGAATCGTTTGGAATTTTGTAGTTTATCGAACATGTCTGCGACTGATCGCACCGGGTCCAAATGACTCATCATGATTTCGATCAGCCTTCTGAAGTCTACACAAAAGCGTCATTTTCCGTTAGCATTCTTCAACAGAACGACTAGGGAGTTATACCGGATGTGAGCCGCCTCGATTACATTCGCATACAAAATCTCCTGGACCTGAATTTTGACCCCAGTATCCAGCTGGATTGGTATACTTCTACAAATTGCGACTGATAAGACTGCTGTGGATACGTAATTGTGTTTTCGAGCCAATCACAAAACTTGTAGGGGCTGTTATCGTTAGTGAAGAGAAGTTTGTACTTGCCGGCAACCAATTGCAGTGCCGGGCTAACGTGCACATCTGCAACGATTGCACCGGCCCGTGTGTAGCCTTCTCCACCGGCGAGGTACACAGACCCGTATTTCGTCACCGGCATTCCTCCTTTCAGGTCCACGATGAACACACTAGATTGTAGAGAGTATGCAGACAGAATTATCCCTATCGTGTCTAGTGACAATAAAGCGATGGTTGAAACTATGACTATGAATCTATGACAACCACCTGCGCCGACATACCATTTATGCGTATAACATAACCACTGACACCCTTCACCAACATGAACACCATTGGGTTTTTACTCCATCTCGATGGTTGGTCAGGGACACTGCGACTCCTGTATCAATCAAAAACCCCTCCGATTCTCCATTCACCCCTGATATCGCTTGAATCGCTCATTTGTTCAGGGTTCCAAGTATGCACTCTCGAACACGAGAACAATACTGCATGTGAATTTCATTTGGTACAAGGTGTTTACTTCGGCTTGACGGGCAGTGCAGCTTCCAGTGTCCCAGTTTCCACGAAGAAGCATCGCTCAGTTTACCTCGTCCTCTGGTGGATAATTCGAGGGGCTCCGATGTCTTGCGTAATCTGCTCCAACTTCTCTTCCAACATATCCAATGGCACGCTGTCTTTTGGTCTTCGATTTGAAATGCTACCGCAGGCCCCTGTACAAACACACTTGCCACTCAAACAAGTTCCACCACGCACGTTCTCTGGGTGGCGTTCAGAATCCACAAACGATCCGCCATTCTTGGAGGTATAGCGTCCAGAAACTGTTTCACTAACAGATGCTGTTTTGACGCGTCGTCTAAATCTGGCAGCGTCCGACCCAACAAGCCACCGAGATGGACAGCAAATACGACTGGATACGCACCTAGCCCAAGCCGGGACGCAATGCATCGTCGGTTCGCATCCTGACGGTGGGAAGAACAGTCAAACCCCACGATCAAGGCCTCCCTCGCAGCAAGCCATTCCAACTTGTCTACGCCTCTGCTTGTCACTTGTAAGTTCACAATCGCCCGTCCATTGAGTAGACTCCTAAAAGCAATCACTTTCGCCCGCAACTGTTGTTTAACTTTACCTATGCAACCAATCTAGAAAGCAAGCATTCCTTGCATTTCTTGTGTAAAACGGATGCAGTTACAGCTGGCTTGGTTTATGTTAGCATCATATTCAGTAACGAAGCTAGTGGAGAGAAATACCATCAGTTGGTGAACACTACATATGCTCTAACTGACTACAGTTGTGCACTGGTTAAGCACAACTTTCATAGCTGTCTCCACAAGCTTCTGCTCAAAGCCGGAAAATTAGAAGGATCGCCAACTGACTGAGTCCGGTTACATTAGCACCAACTAGTACTCTCAACCTCAGCCGTTGACGAAATTTACATGTGTACCATCCCAAACGGTTACCGCGTGCATACGCTAATGAAGAACGCTTGACGATGCATCGTCAATGAGACGGTGTAAACTAATGACGATTGATATCCTCTCTGCCCCGCTCGGCATCCGTTTTAATCATCACTGCTCCTTCTAATCTCGAAAGTGGAGTGAGACTTAGATGCGGTGGAGGCTTCATTACAACCGCTCTCACATTGAACCTCACAAGCAGAACGTTAGTCGTGCAAAAGGTAACCTCAAGAAAAAATAATTTAGACAGATTTTCTGTATGATGACGTTTGGCTATGTTGTGCATAAAATTTGTAGACCCAAATGCAGGCGGCAGTAGTGGAATCATAACCATTATAGGTTTAGCAAATATGCTGACTGTCACGTTGGATAAAATAACACGGTGAAGTCATTGACACGTATATAATAATAGAAAAGTAACAGGATTTAGTTTGGGATGGATGCATCTAGTTCTTGAAGAAAAGAAACTTATCCTTACCCATCATAGCAACTGCGCATCCGAGTGCGCTCCGCAGGGCAATTTCTTTCTACAGATTGTGTAATGGGATGGTGGGGATCCTTACTTCAGCGTATTCAACTATTCACGTTTGATCTAGTACATTTGACCTCACCATCCTAAGAAAATTGGTAGACCAACGGTTTCCTAACCAGTGGCAAACTGGATATACACTGTGCTGTAAGGTTGCGGGCAAATCAATCCGCCTCTTACGATGCAGTTCGCAAGAGTGAAAGACCGATGCCACATAGCAGATCTAATGAAAGTACACATTCGGTAAGTTCAAGAAGACGAGCAAGCACGTAGGAATGCAATTTGTATTTGCGAACACAAGCGAGAATAATTATAACAAGCACAAACGCCATCAGATCAGAAGACTTCAGTAAACGCCAAGAGATGTGAAGTGAGCTCCCCGAAATCTGTGATCCAAGACAACGTGAGATATTAAGTATTGCGCAGCTAAGTTGATTGAGAGAGAGAGGGAGAGAGTGAATGAGTGTGTGGACGAGTTTGTTAACGAAATGACGCACATGTTCTTCAATGTGGCAAATGTTCGTTACTTGTGAATTAACTTATTAATGTTTCACTGTAATGGAGGTTGTAAGTGGGAATGTATTTAAGAACTGAACAAAACGATTATTTCTTGACGGTGTAAAAGACTGTTCTCGTGTAGAGACAGATCAAGAACTACACAGATGGGGTTCACATATGATGTCTTATGGTATCTGTAAATCTCGCTTAACTTACTACATCTGAATGAAATGTCGCCAATAGTCGATGCGGCAGCTGCGCAGGCAGGATAGTGACGCCGGACATTATTAAGATTGCGTTGTCAATCAACCGGCAATCCGTCCTATCAGATTTATGTTTCATTTATAACAATCGTCATAATTAAGCACAGCGATCTTCATACCACCCTGACAAATTGAATGAGAACATATGAATCATTTTAGTGTAGAAAGCGGTGGAACTGAATGTTAACCCATCCGTGACGTACCGGCAATTGCCGGAGCGTGTTAGAAAAATTAATGAATAAAAAACTTCGAAAACATATTAATTTGTGTCGCAGTAAACAGTGATACTCGATTTAAACGTACTCTCGGTATAGCTCCCTGTGCATCCGGATTGGCCGACTGTTGACGGAGTTGATAACGCTGATATTCTTCAGGCAAATCCTGAGAAACCGTCACTGTACGCACATATCCAGTGGCCCCACCTGAAATGCACCAAACACACTCAGTCAAAGGATGCAACGAAGAGAATATGATGAATAGAATTGGCAAGGTCTACTCACACAGGTTCACTAGACCGTGGCCGACGAGTAAAAACATCACACAACATTGAAGCGAGGGAATAGACATGGTAAACTTGAATTCGCTGTTGTCCGCTCTAATCGCAACCTTATATATTTGTTTCGGTCGAGGCAACCCTCAGTCACTTGACGCCGTCCATCCGTCAATGTGACATCAATGATTCATTAATGAAGTATTTCCCACCCACATTTGAGTGACATCTGAAGATCACGTCGAAGTGTTCAGCTGGACAACACAGCAGGTTAACAGAGACAGGGTGTTAGTGTGTTGGTGTGTGAAGTACCAAATCCACCGTGAATTTGCTCAGTCATAAGAGCACTGTGAACTACGAATGTAATATTTGAGTGACTTGAAAATGTTAGTCGTAAAGGCGCTCAACTTAATTGCTAAGCTCTTGAGGCACGCGAATCGCATGGCGTGAGTACATGGTTGCCAGAATGCAAAATTCACAAGCAGTAGAAGCGCACAACAAGCTTAATCACTTCAGTGAACGTCAAATTAGTTCCAATCAGCGAACCGGATATTTGAAGCACAGGTGCATGGTGTTCATTGACACAAATGCTTCATCCATCAATTCGAAAGGTGTATGAGATGTAGTTAATTTCTTGGCCGCTTAACTTGCTAAATGATTTTGCTCTGAATATTGCATCAAGTATGCGGTCAAATCATGAGTTCTTTGGTGGGCACTGACCAACCTATTGCTTTTCCATTTATTGCGGACAGGAGTAATGCCGTTTCTTTTTATGCATGTGAAGGGTCATTTGATTTACACGGGAAGGCTGTATGGACATGCATTTATATCTTCATAGAATACTTCTGCTACTACTCCCATGCCGCATGTATGCAACATTGCATCTAATTTAATTTTCATGTTTTGTCATCTTTTATTTTTATAAAATTTTTATTTTTGACGTTTTTATTTTACTTTTTATTTTTGGTATTTTATTTTATTTATTTCCATCGCACCAGTGAGTGCGCGGCACTGACCCCTGAATGGGTACACTCATTAGCTTAGAAGCTTCAATCCGTCATCCGGAAAAATCAGCGCAATCATTGCCAGCAATGAAATATGGAAAAATATAATGTGATAAATTTAAATGACAATCAAATTTCCATCATTTGCAGATATGCCAGTCATAATTTGATTTCGGATTTTGACCAACAGCTTCGGAATTAAAGAACATTTAATAAACGACTGATAATAAGTATATGGAGTGCCATTTTAGAGTAGGCCAATCCCAATATGATGGAGCAACTTGGCGAATACCCTCGAAATAACAGAGAATTTGATAGCAGTAATTTTCCACTTTGGTTACATTTTTGAAAGAAATATAGATCAGTAAAAATTATCCAAATGCAATGCATAAAATGAGGAGAGTGTTAGTTTATTTATTCTAGGTATATATCCCAGGCAAAGGGATGTTGTTGATCACTCAGCGAAACATGAGAATAAAGTAATGAAGCAAGTGATGATTGCACAAATCTAACCGAGAGTACCTTTGGAGTGACAACGGAAATAACATTTGGAGATGGAATTATAATTTGGGCATACAATGATCTGAGCGCGGAGTACATACGAAATTTGCGCAAAAGGGACTCAAGTTGAGCCGAATATATATCTCCAATGTTTGATTTTCCATTTTTCATCATATCGCTCTCTTCTTGTTGTTGAAGCATTTTCGCTCTTCGACTTAGGACTTCTGTGCTCTTTGTATTTCATTTATTATCCGGTTCGACTTCAACCTATCTATCACGGCTTATTTGCAAACATAAGATCTGTTTCATTCAATTTGGTGTCCGGAATACCTTAATTATTTGGTTGAATTCGTGGAGAATTTCGAGACAATTTCATAAGCATATGGTACGGATGATGATCACAGACGCTTACAACGGTATCAGAAAATAAGTACGCTGTCTAAACAAATAACGATCCATTTGTTTACGAACGCTTGGACTACAGCTGAATGAACAAGTGCAACTGGCAATAGAAATCAGAGCTCAGAACATAAGAGCAAAATCGCAGACTGAGCTGCATCAGAAATTGATCAAAGTAACTACCAGCAAAGACAAATGTTTAAACAACGTTGGAATCAGGAATCTATGAAATCGGTAACTCACTGATGCGAGCAACAAATTCTCACCAACGACCTTTAGCGATTATAAATAATTTGCTTATTTTTTTGTTTTCATGCTTGCCTATTTCGCTGTAGTCTTTGCACTACTTGGTTTTAATTAACTATACATAAAAACGCTTGGTTTCGAGCTCGTCTTCCGTGCTTCTCCCTTGGTTGCCGCTGGATTGTTGTGATTGTGCGCATCGCTGACTGCTTGATTCACGATCGGGTTCTACCTACACCTACACTTCGGCATACCTCGCGACCTATGGTCGTCCGACGCAAAGGCGCATCAGGATACTTTATATTTGAGGTAAACCTGACTAACTGGGTATTCTCCTTCCCCGGTTACTCCGTATAAGTTGTGACCTTGCATTTTATTTATTTTTTGGGTATAACTTTCATATTTTTTCACAATGTCTGATCACACGCCCGCCATTAATACGTCGGAACATCCCCTTGGACTCGTTTTACCTTCCATTGACGTTTCTAACTCACATGTTTGGTTCGATCAAAAAGACGCTGTCTTTGCTTTTCATAAGATTACATCCCAGTCCACAATCTTTTCATGTGGCTGCTCACTTACCGTCCAACATCGCCTCCGAGGTCATCGATATTCTTGATCCTATGCCCCTAGATTCCCCCTATGATAAACTTAAGGCAGCCATATTAAAGCGCGCTACAGACTCAGAAGTTACTCTCTGGCGTTGAGCTTGGAGATAGAACGCCGTCTCAGTTACTCCGACACATGCGTTCCCTCATCGGTTCTTCCATACTGGATGATTCCGTTCTTCGCCAATTGTGCAGTAATAGCCTTCCCGCGAATACTACGGCTATTTTAGCTGTTCTCGCCGACGATCTACCGCTAGACAAGCTGGCAGAAGCTGCCGATAAAGTTCACGAACGCTTCATTAAAACGTCGGTATCACACGTCACTGAGACTAGCTCAGGCAACTCCGCCGAAACCAGACTACTTCATACAATCAACGGGAGACTTTCCAAGTTATGGCTCACCTTGTCCCACCTCAGGCGTGACCGTGTTCCTTCGAGACCACCCATTTCTCTATCCAGATGTCCTAGCAACTCTCGTACACGACAGTCACACTGCTGTTGTTATTATCACCACAGCTTCGAAGATGCAGTGCGTAACTGCCGTCCAGGGTGCAAACGCCCTAAAGCCTTTTCTACGTCGGGAAACCACACATGCCTAGCCAGTAATGGTGGCGGCTGTCGCTGGACAGGTTATTAGTCGTCTGTTGTACGTATTTGGCTCCACAACCACACTTCGCTTCTTGCTTGACACTGGTGCAGACGTCATCGTTCTCCCGCGATCCCTGGTAAAATGCTCCCTGCAACCAGCTGGTCCAATGCTTACCGCAGCTAATCAGGCTAAAATCGCAACATACGGCCAGAAATTACTTACTTTGAATCTGAGACTACGGCGTAACTTCCCTTTCATTTCTAACTTCGCCGACATGCAAAAGCTCATCACCGGAATCGACTTCTCAGCAAGTTCGGTCTTGTGATCGACCTACGTTGTGAGAAATTAAGAGACAATACTACATCTTTATGCATACCCTGCAAACTTGCTTCTGTCAATTCTATTTGGCTTCGCATTCTCATACCTGACGACTCACAGTACTGTTCGTTGCTCCGACAATTTCCGTCCCTAATTCCAGCACGTAAGGTTACTCTCGACCCTAAACACGATGTACGCGATCACGTCGATACAACCGGTCCGCAAGTAACTGTGAAACATAGGCGCTTGTGCCCTGATAAACTTCTGGCTGGTACAAAGGAATTCCAACGCATGCTTGATCTCGGCAGCGTTCATCCTTCAAACAGTTGCTGGGCATCATCTGTCCATCTGGTGTCTAAAATGTCAGGTGAAAGGCGACGTCGCGGTGACTACCGTGCCCTCAACAACCTCACTGTTCCGGATAGTATCCTATCCCTCATATCCACGACTTCCCTCTTGGACTAGCCGGAAAGTCAATCTTTACCAAACGCGACCTAGTCAGAGCTTACCATCAAATTCCAATGGCGGAGGAAGATATTGTAAAAACTGCTGTGATCACTCCATTTGGCCTTTACGAATTTCTTCGTATGCCTTTCGGCCTCCGAAATGCAGAGAAGTCTTTCCAACCCTTCGTGGATCAGGTCCTCCGTGGCTTTGATTTCATCTACGTTTACATTGACGATATTTTGATCGCCAGCGCCACAATTGACAAGCATTTATCACACCTCCGAATGGTTTTCGAACACTTTGAAAACCACGGTATAAACATCAACCCGGACAAATGCAAATTTGGTCAGCCCGCCGTCGAATTTCTCAGTCACAGGATCAATGGTGAATGTATTAAACCGCTCCTGGATAAATCCCAAGCGATTCTCGACTATCCCGATGCGTCAAGCAGTCCGAAACCTATACGAATTTCTCGGTATGATCAAGTACTACAGCTGATTCACTCCCAACCGTGCGGATTTACTTCATCCACTTACCGACTTACTGAAAAGAAACTCAAAGAGGTTAACAATAACCCGACGTTGAAGCCGCCTTCACTGCCGTCAAGCAGAAGTTTAGCGAGGTCATTTTTCTCCATCACTTGAACACCACTGAGGACGCTACACTTGTCCTTAAGACGGATGCTTCCAATTCCGCTATCGGTGCAGTTTCGCAACTGTTATTTGATGCCGAACTTCAACCACTGTCCTTTTTCTCACGGAAGCTACAACCTGCTCAGGTCAGGTACAGCACCTATGATCGTGAACTGCTCGCCATGTACTTGGCTGTGAAACATTTCCATCACTTTATAGAAAGACGTCGTTTCATACACGTGGCAGATCACAAGCTACTGGTGAACGCTTTCTGTTCTGCCTCGGACCGTTACTTACTCCGACAAACGCATCATCTGGACTATCTTTCGCAGTTTTGTGTTGATGTTCGTTATA